GGGGTTTCTTTCTCTGTCCCTGCCCACCTGTGGTGCTGGCCCCACTGGCCCAGACCATGATCCATGTCAGGAGTTATACTCCATGGGTTCTCCCACCCGCAGCACCAAATATTTGCTTGGTTTCAGCGGTGCTGGAGTCAGGAGAGTGCCTGCTAGTAATCTGTGGTCCCAGTATTACTGATAAAGTCAAGCGCATACCTCTCAGTGCCACTAAGCTGACCCAAGCCTGCTTGGTGACTGACTGTGGGGGCATCTCCCCAGGCCTGTCCTCCTGCAGCACCAGTGGACTCTCTGCTTGGGTTTCAGAGGTGCTGGACGAGCCTGTTTGCACGTAGCTGACCCAAGTCACTGATAAAATCAGGTGCTGAAGGTAGATCCTTGGGGTGATCACCGGTATCCTGGAGTGGTCATTGGTATGCTGGTGTGGTGTGTCTTCTGTCTTAACCCAGGAAGGTCTTGGGTGGCCATTCTCACCTACCGGTTGCTCCCCCAGGGAAGTCTCCGATGGCCTTTTTTGGCTACTTGTCGGCGGGTTGCAGGATAGATCTTTGTGTTTTTTTTCCCCTGTACCTTTCTCCTCTCTAATTCTACTCCTCTGAGTTTGGTGCACTCTGACTCAGTGAGCTGTTCATAGCACCATAATCTCTAAATCAGACTGCTGTACCTGGTTTTTCAAGCACTAAGATGCTAAAGGGAAATAGCGTGGTGATTACTGATGAGACTCCATTTTGAATCCTCTCGCCTCCTGCCCCTTTTAACCTGGATATCCTGCTGCTCTTGAGGTCCCCAAGGCCGCTTCTGGCCCTACCTTTCCTGGCTCTAGGGGGCTTGGGGCCTAGCCTTGCCTCCCGCCCCTTTTAACCTGGATATCCTGCCATTCCTGAGGTATCTTTGTCATCAACACCATGGTAAAGTGCATCAATTTTTTCTTCAGTCTTTTTTATTCATTATCCAGGTTTCATATGCTTATGAGTCTTTTGAAAATATCAAGGCTTGGTTTAGGCACACCCTAGTCTTCAAAGTGACATCTTTACCTTTAATACTTTGAAGAGGTCTTTTGCAGCAGATTTACCCATGCATTATGTTATCTGATTCCTTGACTGCTGCATCCTTGGGCATTGATTATAAATCCAAAGAAAGTGATACAACTGACAACTTCAGTGTTTTTGCCATTTATTGTGATGCTGCTTATTGGTCTAGTTGCGAGGATTTTTGTTTTGTTTATGTTGTAGTGTAATCCATCCTGAAGGGGGTAATTGTCGATCTTTATCAGTAAGTGCTTCAATTGTTTGTCCCTTTCAGCAGTATGAACCATGTTGTTGTTGTTATGTGCTGTCGAGTCAGACCCATCTCATAGCACCCCCTCCTTGGGTTTCTGAGGCAGTATCACTGTGGAAGTAGATTGCCCAACCTTCCTTCCAAGGAGCGGCTGGTGTTTTTGAACTGCCAGAGTTTTGGTTAGCAGTCAAGTGCCTTAGGCACTATGCTACCAGAAGTCCTAATACTATAAATCATAGTTGTATTAAATGCCCAGTCTATTAATTCCAAAATCCCTGGCATATCTGAGTCAGATTCACATCTGACTATGTTCATTCAGTGGGAGAAGCTACCAGTCCCACCAGTCTTTCCCACTTATTGGTACCTCATCTTGTTTCCATCCAGTGCTTCATGTTTGTTGTGTGTTCTGATGGGTCTTATGGAAGTAATGGAATTTGATTTTCCCACAGAGAAATCATAGTCTGTATGTGGAATTAGGTCTTTCACTCATAGAGGATTTCTTTACCTTCTGTTGTCTTTTCTGCCTGTCTGAACCCTAAATACAGAGAGGAATAAGACTGGATAGGTCATAGTCACATTGTAAAGTTGTAAGTTCAATGTGTTAGAAATATTGTTAGGTGTATGACACAAGATGCCAACAGTTAGTAGTAGTGGTACAGTGAAGGTATGACTCTGATGGCCAAAGTCTAGAGTAGAACATAGAATCTTCCTTTTGTGACCTCCCTATGGATTCTCAGTTCCTCAGGATTGTTAACCTCACCCATCCTTTAATACCTATTGGGGAAGATGATACTTGCTGATCCGTAATATGTGTGATGTTTTAGAACTCAGTGATGTTTGAGGATGTGGCTGTGGAATTTTCCCAGGAAGAGTGGGCTTTGCTGGATTTTTCCCAGAGGCAACTCTACAGAGATGTGATGATGGAAACCTTCAGGAACCTGGACTCAGGTAAGGATGGCTTCATTCTTCATATTTACTGATCTAGTGAAGAAGTAAATTGTATTTATCGATCTTCTTGTAGCATTTGAGTTGAGAATTGGAATACATTGGCAAACTTGACAGCCATGTTAGTATGCTCATGGGTCTTGGATTCTAGTGGTTTCCCCATGAGAGTAAAACTATTTGTATTAAATTGACTGTGTATCATGTTATCAAAAGCATTGAGGCACTTTAAGTGTTGTGTGAATATTGGCTTCAGTGGTCACTTTGTCACAAAGAGAGATTTATGGTTTGGGAACTTGTGTTTTACCATTTATTACTACAAATTTGATGTGATTATTTTGCTTATATTAAACTCACACTTATTCATCTATACAGACCACGGAGACCAAAGTATTGACTTTGCATCAGGGAAATGTGCTTGTCTATCTTCTGTCATGATCTTTTTTCTCCATGAGAACCATGTCAACCACATTAATTTTTCTCTCTGAGAGGCAAGGGAAACATGTTTTGGAGACTGGAGATAGAATTTATCAGAGCTATACTGTCAGGGAAGGAGCTCTGGTGGTGGTGTGCCTAAGGCATTTGACTGCTAACCAGAACGTTGATGGTTCAAACCCACCAGCCACTCCATGGAAGGAAGACTGGGTGATCTTCTTGTGTAAAGATTTACTGCCTTGGAAACCCAAAGGGAGTAACTATGAGTCAGAATTGACTCAATGGCAGTGAGTTTGGTTTGGTTTGATACTGTCAGGAGAGGGAGCACCTTTAAGGCAAGAATCCTTTCAGGGACCAAGCCTGTTGGGATAAAATTACATTTGAAGAAATCAAGTCCAAAAAATCTCCTTTACTCTAAGGAGATGGAGCTTACACACTTACCTAAACTGAGTTTTTTGATTTTCCATCAGTCCTCTCATGACTTCTCTGTTTGTGGAAAAAGCCCTACCCAATTTCTTCTTTTAGTAATACCTTTATACACATGCATAGTTTGCAATACCTTTTTATCTTGCTTTCCTAATCACACTTTACTTGTACCACCATAAGGAGCCCTAGTGGTACAGTGGTTAAGTACTCAGCTGCTAACCTAAAAGTTGATGATTTCAACCTATCAGCTTCTCTGCAGCAATAAGATGTGGCAGTCTTCTTCCACTAAGATTTACAGCTTTGGAAACCATATGGAGCAGTTCTTCCCTGTCCTGTAGGGTAGTAGCTATGAGTCAGATTGACACAGTGGCAGTGTATTTGGTTTGGTTTCTGTCACCATCACTTTCATTAGTCTTGAAACAGCCAAATGTCTGAAAGTCAGTCTTTCTTCATATGTGCCTTGTTCCTCATAAAATATCCTTACTGTTCTATTTCAACTTATATAACTCTACTTAAAATTATTGGGTCAGTATTTCAACAGGATGATAATGTACAAGCATTGTCAATGAAGAATGACTCCTGGCCCTCCATGTTGGGAGAAGCCTGTGAATTCAATAGCATGGAATATCAGCACAACAACCAAGAAAGGCATATGAGGTAAGTGTCATTTGCATGACATTGCATAGTCCCTCAGGTTAGCCTTCACACACAGATGACATTTCTGTGTATGTGTGTGTCATGTGAAACTAGCTCTAAAATGATGTGTTCACATCAATTTCACAACATGGTATTTCCATAAATGTGAATCATATATTTAGTACAGGTATATTTTGCTTAACACCCATGATATGTTCTTTAATTTGGAGTTTGTGCAAACACCATATTATATATGGGTAGGGAGGCATGCAGGCAGCCATACTGAGGGACTACATGAAAACTTAGTCTCCACCAGTGCCAGACCTGTGTAATTGCCATTGGGTCTCTGAGAGCTTTATGTGGCCCCTGCGGAGGTATACAGTTGTTGAGCCACTTGCAGCCAGATGTACCATTGAGTCCCTTCCCTTCCTCCCTGCCTGCCTTCCTTACATCCACAGTGGGCTTTAAAGTCTTCTAGCTTTTCTTGCCTCTCTCTTTTTTTTTTCTTCTTTTCCTGGCTGCCTTTCCTGCTTCCACATCCACTGCTGCTGCAGCTGGGAATAGTTGGTGGCTGCCACTTTGGAAGTAGCCATGGCCTCAGGCTCAGGCATGATACACAGGGTGCCCTGGCCAAGTTGGGTAGCAGCCTTGCAGGATATCCCCCTTGGCAGCTATGGCAGTAGTCCCTGACTGAGACGAGTGTAGTGGTATGGCAGCTGATAATGGGCACTGGGATCCCTCCCTATACTACCTGAGGGCCAGGGCAGATGTGGGAACAAGAAAGCTAGTGAGAGACAGATAGACTCTATAGCACTTAACAAAGTATGCATGCTACATCCTGTCCTCTGATTTGGATTTGTGAACTGTGTTATAACCTTACAGGACCATGCACGTATATGCGGTCAGACATTGCCCATATGGATGTTATGCAACACTTACTTGTATTTGAAACATATTTCACTTGTACCTAGTTATCAGCTCTATTGTATAGGAATAGTGTGACTGTAATGGTAGCATGTCTAAGATATGCTTCATCTTATGCAGCAGGAGACAACTAAGGACAGAAAGCACATATTCTCACTGTGTACAGTAATTGTGAAGTGGTGGAAAATGCAATTCTAACAGCATGCTTCCTATTTTTAACAGAATGGATACAGTAGAGAGCCTCTGTGAAAGTAAAGATGATAAAGGAAACAAAGCTGAAGAGGGTAATCAGTGTGGAAATCCTTTCAGCTGCGCTGGGAATTCTGCTGGAGTAAATCTCTTTGAATGCCTTGAGTATGGAAAAGCCTTCATGGATGATTTATCATTTAAGCATTACATCATGTCTCACAGTGGATACAAACCTTATAATTTTAAGGAATGTGGAGGAGAAGACTTCAGTTGTCCTTCTTACCTAAAACTGTGTGTGAAAGAGACACTTTGTAAATGTAAAGATTATGGGAAACCTTGTACTTGTTCCTTTCCCCTCACTAAACATACAAGAACTCACAGTGGACAGAGGCCTTATGAATGTAAGTGTGGGAAAGTCTTTAGTTATCTCTCAAGCCTCACTAGACATATAAGAACTCACAGTGGAGAGAGGCTTTTTGAATGTCCGAAATGTTGGAAAGCTTTCACTCGTTCCTCATCCCTTACTACACATCTGAGATCTCACAGTGGAGAAAAGCCTTATGAGTGTAAGGAATGTGGGAAAGCCTTTAGTTGTTCTTCTTCCCTCACTGCACATGTGCGAACTCATAGTGGAGAGAGGCCTTACCAGTGTAAGGAATGTGGGAAGACCTTTGGTCGGTCCTCACACCTCACTACCCATATAAGAACACACAGTGAAGAGAGGCCTTATGAATGTAAACAATGTGGAAAAGCCTTTAAGCAATTTCCACAACTCACTATCCATATGAAAACACACAGTGAAGAGAGACTGTATGAATGTAAACAATGTGGGAAAGCCTTTAAGCAATTTTCACAACTCACTACCCATATAAAAACTCACAGTGAAGAGAGGCCTTATGAATGTAAGGAATGTGGAAAATCCTTTAGTCAGTTTTCATACCTGACTGGCCATATGAAAGCTCACACTGGATACAGGCCTTACATATGTGAAGAATGTGGGAAAGCCTTTACTCGATCCTCACACCTCACTGCCCATAGAAGAACACACACTGGAGAGAGGCCTTATCAATGTATGGAATGTGGGAAAGCTTTTTATCAGTCCTCAAACCTAATTCACCATGTAAGATCTCACAGTGGAGAGAAACCTTATGAATGTAAGGAATGTGAGAAAGCCTTTAGTTGTTCATCATCCTTCCGTAAACATGTTAGAACTTTCCATGAAGATAGGCCTCATGATAGAAAAAAATGTTGAGAAAGCCTTTAGTCCTTATACTTTACTGACCATATAAGATTTCACAGTGGGAGCTACTGGAACTAATTGAAAGGTTCAGCAAAGTGGCAGGATACAAGGTCAACATACAAAAGTCAGTTAAAGTCACTAAATTAGTAAAGAAATCTCTGCAAAGGAAATGAGGAAAACAATAGCATTTACAATAGCAACCAAGAAGATAAAATACTTAGGAATAAATCTTACCAGGACGACAAAAGACCTATACAAAGAAGACTACAAACCTCTAGTGCAAGAAACTACAAGAGACCTACATAAATGGAAGACTATCCCGTGCTCCTGGGTAGGAAACATCATGAAAATGTCATTACTCCCCAAAGCAATCTATAGATTCAATGCAACCTCCATCCAAATTCTAGTAACGTTCTTTAACAACATGGGAAAACAAATCATTATTTTATATGAGAAGAAAGAGAGCACAGATAAGCAGAACACTACTAAAGAAGAAAAGATATTTCACACACTCTGATCTCAAAACCTACTATGCAGCCACAGTAGTCAGAACTACTTGGTATTGGTACAACAACAGACAAATACCAGTGAACAGAATTGAGAACTCAGATCCATCCACATATGGACAGCTGATTTCTGACAAATGATACTTGCAGAACTGGATATCCATTTGCAGAAAACTGAAACAAGATCCATACGTCACACCATATACAAAAACAAACTCAAATGGATGAAGGACCTAAATGTAAAACCTGAAACTATAAAGTTCATCAAAGATTAAATAGGGACAAACTTAGGAGCCCTAATTTATGGCATAAATAGACTATCAAGCATATCCCCCAATGCACAAACAGCCAGAGATACACTAGATGACTGGGGCCTCCTAAAAATTAAATTCTTGTGTGCATCAAAAGACTTCTCCAAAAGAGTAAAAAAAGAACCTACAGATTGGAAAAACTATTTGGTAATTACAGATCCAACAATGGACTTATCTCTGAAATTGGTAGAAAACTCCAATATGTCAATATGTCAATATCAAAAAGACAGTCCATTTCATAGATTGGCAAAGGACGTGAACAGACACCTCACCAAAGTAGACATTCAGGCATCCAACAAACACATGGAGAAATGCTCATGATCATTAGCCATTGGCGAGATAGATGCACATCAAAACAACAATGAGATACCATTTCCAGCAATTACAGCAGTGTTCAGTAAGACATAGAACGACAAAAGTGTTCAGTAAGACATAGAACGAAAGTGTGGAAAGATTGGAATTTTCAGACACTGCTGGTGGGACTGTGAAATGGTACTGCCACTGTGGAAAATGGTATGGCACTTTCATTACAAATTTGGAAATAGGAGTACTGTTTGATCCAGTAATCCCACTACTAGGAATATATATCCTAAAGGAGTCAGATCCAAGGCATGAAGAGATATATGCACACCCATATTCATCATAACACTATTTACAATTACAGCCTAGGTACCCACCAATGGGTACATGGATAACCAAACTATGGTACATACCCACAATAGAATACTATGCAATATTGAAGAATAATGAAGAATCAGTGAATCTCCTCGTAACATGGATGAGCTTAGAGGACATTATACTGAGTGAAATGAGTCAATCACAGAATGGCAAATACTATATGAGTCCGTTATTGTAAAAAGTCAAGGAAAGTTTTACACAGGGGAGGAAATTTTGTTTGTTGGGTACCAGGGATAGGGAAAAGGAGGGAGGGAAAATAGATATTAAAAGTTTGATATGGGTGAAGGGAAAAGCAATGTAACAAAAGTACGTGACTGGCTGAATATTACTAAGGAAAAGGAAGACCATGGAGAGGTGAACAAAGGTACAGACAATAAAGGCAAATACTATTGCATACACAGTACTGCATTATCAGTAACAGCAAACACTAATCTGCAGATGGATACATATGTAGATAGGTATGGACAGGCAAATGGGAAAATACCTTCAGTCATACATAGATTTGGCAGACAATATTTCTACATAAATATTTGTATGTGCTATAAAAATGTCCATATGAAGTTTAAACATAACAGGAGGCAAAGTTAGGATAACTTCTTAGCTGTAAATAAGCATCTTGAGGGAATGGACCTGTGGGTTGGAGACCATGGTTGTGGCAGACATCAAGCTCAATCGGCACAACAAAGTATGCAAAAATACTATTCTCCATCGTCAGTGAGTAGTGACTGGAATCTTAAAAGCTTCCAAGCAGCTATCTAGGTGGCATCTACTGGCTTCTCCTTGTCAGGAGCAACAAAGAGTGAAGAAAAGCAAAGAAACATGGAAACAGCCCAAAGGACTAATGGACCATGGGAGCCTCAACTTACATGACCCTAAAACCAGAAGAACTAGATGGTGCCTGGCTACCAATGCCAGCCACTCAGAAAGGAATCAGAGTTGGAGATCCTGTGTAGAGTGGGAGAAAACTGGAACAAAACACAAAATCATAAAAACGACCACGCTTACTAGTCTGATACAGACTAGTGAAACCCCTGAGACTATGTCCCCAAGTCACCTTTCTGCCCATGACTCAGCTCTCAGACAAACAATAGACAGACCTACAAGCTGAACACCTGCACCAGGGAGATTCGCTCTTTAGAACAATCAACCATGGGAGATCAGAAGGGCAGCATTTGCACAGGGAGAAAGGTAGGGGAGTAGGAATGCATAGGCAAGGAAGACACATGGAAAGGCTAACCACAGAGAGGAAGTAGGAGGTGAGCACAGAATGTAACCAGTGCCACAAAACAAAATGTGTATGAACTGTTGACTGTAAAACAAATCTACTTTGTAAAATTTCACCCAAATCTCAATAAAAAGTTAAACAAATAAGTAAAGATCTAACAGTGGGGAGAACCTGTAATGTAGTGAATTGGCCCTTCTAGCCATGATATTGTAACTCCCATAGTTGGGACTATGCAAAAAAGGTTCATGGAACCCTCATAGCAGATTACTCAGTTTTGGCATCCGACTAGGTTTAAAAAAGAGCCAGTATCAGAGAGGGGTAGAGGGACTTCACTACCATGAACAAGACAGGCCAGAAGTGGAGTGTGTCTCTTGGATGCAGAGTCCCTGCACTGGCACCCTCCTTGACCTGGGAGCTTAACATTGTCAGAGGAGCAGTGCAAGATGGAAGCAGCGGCAAGTGTGATATATAAACAGGCAGCAACAGAATCTGGAGACTGCTGGCTCAAGATAGTTCTGTGGGCTTCCTGGCTCTCAGAATGAGTCAGCCACAGTGGGCTTGCCAACCCACAAGTAAAAGAGCTGAGTGCATTTAGGTAGGGGGCTTGCTGGCAGAATGGGGTATACTCTAAAGAGCTGAAACAGTTGTCCAAGCAGGGCAGAGGCTGGTAGCAGAGGCCAGGTGTGAGTAGGGCCCAGTAGCAGCAAGGCCTTGACAGGACCTGTTGGCAGAGGTTGAAAAGAAGAGGTCCTAATTCAGTAACTATCCTGAGTTCCTGTTACTTCCATCTTGGTTCTTTTCTTGTATTGTAACCTGTTACTTCTCTAATAAGCCCCATCAATTGTGGCCATTGTAATGAATTATCAAACCTAGCTGAGAAGTTGAGAGTGGTGTGGGAGTGACTGCTGGTGTCAGAATTGGTTAAAAAAAAAAAAAAGTTGTAGGGGGTGGAGGTCAAACACAAACTCAGGAAGCACCATTGGGCTGATGATTCTCTTTCCTTCTCCTGAAGTTAGAAGATGGCTTCTGATGCTACACCATTTTTACAGAAGCTTATGATTGGTAAAGGAATGTGTGGAAGCCTTGAGTTGATCATCATCCCTCAGTAAACACATGAACTCCGTGAAGAGAGGCCTTATTTCTGTAAGGAATGAGGGCAGTTCTTTAGTTTGTGCTTAGGTTTCTGAACACGTGAGAAAGCACAATGGAAGGAAACAACATATGTGAAAGTAATGTTGGAAAGCTTTTGGTCACCCCCCATCTTTAAAAAAAAACCCTGAAAGAAAACACATGGTTATCCCTCTCCTTTTCAGTAACCGTAATACTGTAAGGAATGTCATGGGGGAAACTTCTTGCTTTTCCTGTTATACTTTCCAAGAGGTGAAGATTCACATATGTGGGAAAACTTTCACTAATTACCTCTATTAAGTGTGTGAGAAAGCATATTTAGGAAGAATATGTGTGTGAGGAACATGGCAGCATCTACAAAATCTTTTGGAATTCTTAGAAAATAAGTGAAGTATAACTGTAGATAGATCCTGTTCATGTAACATATGAGGGAATCCTTCAGGGTCCCTGCTCATTTAGACCCCTGTGAGACCTCACATGAAGACACTGGGATACTGTGAGTGTAAGCCACGTTACCCCTCAGATACAGCACATGACTGTGGACAAATAGCAAAATGGTATTTCCTTATGATAGGAAATTACAAGGAAAAGTCACTCAATATCCCACCACTCTTGGGTATTTTAGCCTTCTTTATATTGGAAAGCAGTGTTTTCTTAGCAAATCTCACTTACTTTGTATTGAACATGTTTGTGTGTGTATCTGAACATTCTTTCCATTGCTTCCCTCATTTATCCTCCACAACTATTATCGCTGGTTTACTGATGAGGAAACTGCACACCATCTTGCAAAATGCACCTTGGAAGTGGTGCTCTGAGAAGCAGAGATTGCATGGAAGGAGAGGGTTCCTCTTGGGGGTTCCTAGGGACCCACAGCAGCAGTGACCTGTCAGCAGTGATGCTTCTGTCTAGCACAGGCCTTTATTTTGAGAGAGTCTTGCTTTTGGTAATTCTTAGAGAGTGCGCCAGTCCAGAAATTCAGTTCTTAGTGTGCCAGTCCAGAAACTGAGGCTGCAGTTACTTGGCTGAACTGGATTGGCCACTGCTGCTGCACCTGGGGTGCGCACCTGCTGTGGGGCTTGGTGGTTCATCCAGAGCCACTGCCTCATGCTGAACTGGGAGCTGGTTCCATGACAGCTCCTGTCAGGGGCCAGTGAAATGGTGGCT